AAAAACCGTGGAGTAGCGTGAATGATAGATGAAGCTATCTACTCCTGTATAGTACTCCTTCAGTCGTCTTAGAGTCATTATACCAGTAAAAGATGTGAAGGTACCAGTCAGCTTATAGGTCTCCGTTAAAACAGGATTCATGATACTCAAGGTGATTTTGAACAAATATTTATGAAAAATATGCATTATTGACATACAATTGGTTTCCCTCTAAGGGTGCGTGACCGAATAGATTTACGATAATAAGTATGTCCCCATTACTTTTCCGACCCTGAGACTCGGGTTCAAATCTTACCATGAATTGACTTCTTCATAACGTTATCCTGGAGAGACGATACCAGGGTACGATGGCATTGGGAAGTGCTTAAAAACTACACCCCAACCATGTGAATGGAATTGGGTAAGCAAAACTGTTTGGAAGCCTTTGACATTTACACTAGCCGGATGTCATAATTTTTCAACTAATTGGTAAGTAGAAGCTTTCGTTGACAATAAATCTAGAGGAGGGGGTCTAGGAAAAAAACAAAAAAAAAAAAAAAAAAAAAACAGCCACCTCCAGCGCCCTGGCCATTCACAGGAATTGGCCTGAAATAAGTTATGTGAGATTCGTAATCTGTTGCATGCAGAAATAGCGGAACGTAAAATTGAATATTTTAATGGCTGTAAAAAAAAATACCAAAAGTCGTTTATGTAAACCATCATTTTTGCCCTTTCGGAAATGCCACTAGGTTTTGGATAAGGGTTATTTAACTTTTACATTTTTAACGGAGTTGATTCCTGCCAAGGACTACCTGGTTCTTCCTATTTCAATTGACTGTCGATTGTTCGAATGACTGAATCTTGTGTGAACCCGACCTGATCACGTACTTTGCTTTCATTTGATCCCGCTAAACATTGACGTGTAACATTGATGTGTACTTTACTGCAACAAATACAAGTGCCGACACGAGTCTTTGCTTCAATTCCTCTTGGGACACAGCACTTATTTAGTATGTGGCGCTTACTAGTTTTCAAATATTTTTGTCCGCGGCATGATAACTTTGCTCCACGTTTATTAAGCGTGCAAAAATTCTTGACGGAAGAACCAGCACGCTTATTTTATTAGTCGAAAAATCAACAATGGCTTGACTATTACAGGCGGCACACGTATTTGGTACAAAAGATGATTATTATTAACTATGGCAATGTCACATGGTAGAATTAATTCATTACTAAATAAATGTTTAAAAGAAAACCAATACAATACATAAACCTGACTCCGGCCCCGGGAAGTGCCTTTCGACAGTCGCTATCATATCAACACTTGTTTTTTTTTAATCACATTTATATACGATATAAATTAAACGAAGCACAACTGACTATTAAAATATGAAAAAATTTCGCTCATTTTTACGTCATTAAGGGGTCTTTTTTTTGGGGGGGGGGCAAATCCGTGAATTTGTTTTGCTCTTAAAAACACGATATAAAATTAAATATTTTTTATCCATAATGTTGAATCTGTTAACATTTTTTCACAAGAAAAATCACGAGCTGATGTCAAAAATTTCCTAAAAAAACATCGTTGATTTAAGATGGAATGATCTATTATGGCATGTCTCTAATTTGTAGTTAGATAGATTGTATTTATTTTCAGTTTCACTAGTAGCATCTTTCACCTATATTGCATATGGCCCATTATTGTACATAATTAGGTTACAATAAGATTTGTATTTTTTATGAATACTATCTTATGAAAACTGAGATGCAGTAAAGCAGGAGGGGGCGTATAGTATATTGGGGGGGCACGAGACATTTGCACCAGCTTTGTATTAAGGCATGTAAAATTCAATAATTCGAGTGTTAAATTTGGTTATATGTGCAACGTGAGTAAACTAGAATAAAATTGATTAATTAAAACAAAAGATTAATAATGTTAATCTTGTAAAGTAAAATCTAAAACAACAATAAACACGTACTACAATTACTACTACTACTACTACTACTACTACTACTATGACTACATATCAGACTTATATAAGCTTAGTAAATAACACCAAGTACTAATCTACCGTGCTACAATTATGTGAGAAACATTGGTGTGTGTGTGTGGGGGGGATTTGCGCAATCCTAAAGCGCACGGTTATCCAGTTAAGCAAGTATGTGCATTATCAACCGGTCACGTGTTAAAAAATAATTTTAAAAGTTTGCAGTTGCTATATTAAAGTTTAAAGTTTTTATCAATCATGTTTATTGATTAGCAAGCAATTCCTATCAATTAAGAAAACAGACGCAACAACTTTATTGATTTCAATTCTCAGGTATAAGCAAAAAAGATACGTTTCATTTTTAACATGTTTACATCCATGCAACACACTTGTGCATCTTGCGACATGTTGTAAATTGCGTCTGGAACACAAGCGCGTTCATGCCACAATTTTAAATAAGGCTAACTATAGCAAAAAACCTTCTCATTGTTATTATTTTATTACCTTGTTTTTAGAGGTTTTAAAAACAAAAAACAACAAAAATCATGAACAACAAATACGTCAGCTGGCACTAGAAGAAGTCTAAAACCAGACTCGAGGGCGTATATTAGTGTCATTAATTATTATGTATTCGGTCGAGCTAGCTCGGAGATTCATGAGTCTGTCATGTCAATCATCACGGTCCTACATTAAGGTGGGAAGATCATTAGGGTGGCATACTGTGATATAATATAGTCCGTCAATGTAGGAGGTTGCTGGGTGACCAGCTCGTCTTACGTCATGGCTAGGTATCCAGAGCAGTAGATCATTCGCAAGTTCTTGTTTTGCTTGCCAGTAGTGTCCTGCAAAACGCATTCTACGTTCGCGTAAGATTGTAGAAATATCAGTCCATAGAGCAGTGATTTAATTGGTTTGGTTTGGTTCATTTTGTTTTACGGCATGTTAACCCCAATGAGTTATTTAATGCCATCAAAATTTTCATTGCTGGTAATATTTTATTTTGTGAAAAATCTATAACCCAGCATCCTTCGATTTTCTAACTTTTCGTACCTCTTCAAACGACGCGGTTTCTGATTTTCTGATAGTCCATACAAAATCCATTCGTTTTATATTTTCACCTTTTCTATCGCAGCAGGAGAAACGATCATAAGAGAAGCTTAACATTTGCTGAATAGCGTCAGTGTTTGACATAAATGCTCTCCGCTTGAACTGACTTAGGGCAGACACGAAGTCAAGTGGACCCCAAATGATTTTATCTGGACCGGGTTTTATGATTACTTAGAGAGTGAAATCTAAAAGTAAGATCGTCAAAGGGATCATTCAAAGTTCATAAGTAGATAAATAAATAATTGAAATCTTTCGATATCAAGTGCAACTTGACAGGAAGTTAATGAATTCTAATTCTAGGTGTATATAGGTTAAAAGAGTGAGCGGCGAGCATCACGCAGAGAGTAAAGGGATCGCGTTCAGAAAGAAGCTGGCAGTGGATGTCGAGCTGTCGGCTGGTGATATAGAGAGGCAGATTCAGAATGTCTGCGATACGGGCAGAGCGATGGCAATAGAGAGAGAGAGATTGGGGAGAGAGGGAGAGAGAGATCGAGAGGGTAGAGAGAGGGAGGGAAAGAGAGGGGAGAGAGTCACCTGTTTGAATGCCTGGAGAGAGACGATTAGAGAAAGAGAGGTAGGGAGTAGTCAGTAGTCGGTGTTCTTGCTAACTGAAGAGAATATGTGGTCCATTAGTCTGTCGTGAGAGAATACAGAAGTAGCCGTGAAGATGTCCCAAGTGTCACTTTATCAGTCACATTAAGATGTGCCTGGTGAATGTGTAAATCAATAAATAAACAAACCAGTATAATGAAAACATGATCTGGGTTTTCTGTTCCCGCTGTGGCGATATTTATAATTTACATTGCTTTGTTGAACGTACGTCGAACCATTCGCGGTTTTCCCTGTTTTTGTTCATACCGACACAAATAAGAAGAGAAACACAACGTGGTCTGATTTATGGATGGCAGTCAGTGTTAGATTAACAGAGGGCGCCGGTTGTAGGTTTACTATATATATATATATATATATATATATATATATATATATATATATATATATATATATATATATAAATATATATAAATAAATATATATATATAATTATTTATATATTATATGCGCAGTACTTATTAGAAAGCGCTCAATATCAGAGATAGAGCTAACATATTTGATTTGCTAAAGCGTGAAACCCAGGGTTACAAACTCACAGCTATCCAACCAAATATATATATATATATATATATAATACTGAGATTAACTGTTTCCATACAGGAAATATTCGACATTCCTTGAATAAAGTTACCTTTACTATTTACACGATTTACATTCTTCGGACTGTGGCCCTTATCTTTGTTGTAATATTCACGACGTTTCGGTTGTTGTATACTCCGGCCTTCGTCAGGTGATTGGAATTTCGAACTGAACCCTTTATTTCATCCACCGGATTAGATTGTTCTAGTTCCATGTGCCATGTTTTTTCACCACTGTTGTAGCCAGGTATTGAACTCGCAACTGTTTGGGTCAAGTCACTGGATCCAACCAACGCTTTTATCAACTGGGCTGGAGCCTACAACGGTTGAAACGTCGTGAATATGGTAATAAAGACGAAGAAAACAGTCCGAACACTGTAAATGATGAAAATAATCTCAGAAATATAGACATTTAACTTTAGTGTCGGTAGAATTTTCTAAAATTTATCTCTTAAGAGTTTTTTTTCAGAAAAATAGGCTCCTGAAGTCGACTGTTTTCGCTCTTTCATTCCTAAACGTTTTATTAAACACGACCGGTGATTGTAATAAGTGAGAGATTATAACATTTAAATGCCTATGAACCAAGACACACGTAAGCTAATAATTACACCTACGTAAAGCTTGCTTTGCTTACCTACCTTGGACTTTTTTTTATCTTCCGCCCAAAAGAAATTCAAGGGCGAGGAATAAACTTGAAACAAAGTTGTAGCCAGAAGGAAGAAAAAAAGTCAACACATACACTTACTATTACTCCTTGTATGAAACTGCCACCCGCCAATGCAAACGACTTGGCCGTTTGTATGGCGTTTCCAGAGCCTGACAAATTCTTTAAATCTTCGAGTTTCGTCTTGTCTGGTTGATGCATTTCATAGCATTCAGTCATCAGTTGAAATACCGCTTTCTTATCCAGGGTATCCTTCACTTCCTGCAGATACACGAATAATAAATAAATAAATAAATACCCTGATGCTACACCAGGTATGACTTTTATGGCTTCTGATCTTAATTGAACGGAGGTGTTAACACGTACGCTATTATACATTTCACTAGCTCCCAATCACAAATCGTGTCGAAGCTATACGACAGGTTTGACCAAACTTGTTTAATGTAAGAGCCATATACGATAAAGTTTAGATGTTTGAGAGCCGCACTCACTCTCCCAGCGCACCCAAATCTTTAATCCCCTTCCCCATGACGCCAGTCTTCTGACATTCCACTGTAATCATTGCTGACCAGAAATTTTTTAATCCCTCTGCCTTCCACCATCCCCTCCCTCAGCACTAAAGAACAATGCCTCACACAGATCTAACATTAAAATTAAGATTTAAATTATTAAATATTTTTTACGAACCATGGACTTTAAAGTTTACATTTTAATCCAATGGCGTCTCAATTCATACCCAGCAAATAATTATAAAGATTGAAATTTTTCTTATTTACCTTTTATATTAACTGTGATGAAAAAAAGGAGCTGAGTTGACATATTTCCGTGAGCCACGTATTTAAGGACAAAGAGCTGCATGTGGTTTGTGTGCTGCGGTTTGGTTACAAGGAAGCATTCTTTTAATGACGATTTTTTGTATAAAAATTAACTCCTTAGTTAAATACAATGCCTCACTCAGATCTAACATTAAAATTAAGATTTAAATTCTTAAATATGTTTACTAACATTAATCATACGTTTTAATCCAAGGGGGTCTCAGTTTATACCCATTCTTAAAATATTTTTACTAGCATTAAAATTCATACCCAGTAAATAATTATAAAGATTGAATTTTTTCTTATTTACCTTTTATATTAACTGTGATGAAAAAAGGATTTAAATCGACATATTTTCACGAGCCACGGCATATTAAATGTCAAACAACTACACTTGGCTTATGTCCCACACTCTGCCCACCCCTGAGATATACATGCTATTAGGTAAAACACTTTTTGAGCTTAGGTGTGCTTCTACCAGTTTAGCCATAGTCGCCAGCCTGACAGGGCAATGTTAGAATTATCTGTTTAATGAAAGCACAGATAGAGAATAAATATCAGGGTAAACTGGGCTCTATAGAAATTCATGTATGCTGTTTTTAAACCGTTTACTAACCATGAACATTAAACAAACGTTTTAATCCAATGGGGTTTTAATTCATACCCAGTAAATAATTATAAAGCTTGACATTTTTCTTATTTACCTTTTAACTGTGATGAAAAGATATTCCCACGAGCCACATATTAAAGGTCAAAGAGCTGCATGTGGCTCGCGAGCCTCGTTTTGGCCAAACTTGTTATATGGCAAAGATGCAAATAAAAATCACGGACCCACAAATCGTGATATGATGGGAGATTACGGAATTTATGTAGAATCAGATTTAAAATCCCGACGTTTTACCATTTTTGGCACCAAATCTTCAGGGTTTATTTCTTGTTTTTGAGTTTGTATTAAAATGAGAACACCTTTATTCATATTGGCTTTCTTGATTTTTTGAAAATCATTTCACCCCAAGCAAGGAAATAAAGCCACTAAGAAACAAGGGATTACTGACTGTGAAAGAATAAGCAAAAAAGAGAAACATTATTAAGGAGCGAGAACAATAAAAGAAGAGTAATCAAGAAGACAGTAGATACAATTGACATTGCATTTAAATTTTGATGAAAAACAAAAAGCCGGAAGAGAGTTCCACAAGCGAGAAGTGCGAGAAAAGGTACTGTTAGCATAGAAGTTACGGTTACATCACGCCAATTCAACTGTAAATTAATGAGACCTTCTTGCCAATCTAGTACTGCGCTTAAAATCATAAAGTCTAGGTACAATAGTGGAGAGTTCAACCCAGAACAATTAGAATGAACGTATTTATAGGAAAGGCACATGGAAGCTACATTATTACAGTTGGAAAGTGACTGAAGCCGATATGCCAGGTCAGGACCAATAATATTGCTGATTTTTCTTTGGATTTTATCAAGAATCTCTAAATATATAGTAGAAGTACCGGACGATATGTGGCAACAATATTCAATGTATGGACTTATAAATATGCAAGATAGATTCTAGAGAATAAATTTGTCTAGAACGCACAATGACCCAACTTACTTAGCAGCAGACCTAGCAATTGCTTCAATATAATATTTCCATTTCATGTCAGCCAAGAATATTAGCTCAAGAAGGTGCAACGAGCCATTCTCTTGGAGGTTAGCACCAACCACGCTGAAGAGAAGTAGAAATGGGTCATTCAGACGATTAATAGAGAGAAATTTCGTTATGGAGGCGTTAAAATTAACAAGTCATTCCTTGCCTCAGTTCAACATATTAGTTTCTAGACGTCTAGAATATTTTAAAAATCACAATGCAAATTTTAATTCGTGGGAAGTAAACATGGTTCTTGGCTGACATGAAATGGAAATATTATATTGAATCAATTGCTAGGTCTGCTGCTAAGTAAGTTGGTTCATTGTGCGTTCTAGACAAATTTATTCTCTAGAATCTCTCTTGCATATTTTGGGGTTGTGCGTGCAAAACTAGTGCCTTCATGACTTACATATTTATAAGCCTCTACCATTCGTCCTTGCTTTGAATATTGTCTCGTGCCCCTGCTATATATTTAATGATTCTTGATAAAATCCAAAGAAGAATCTACAATATTATTGATCCTGACCTGGCATATCGGTTTCACTTTCCCACCGACATAACGTAGCTTCCCTGTGCCTTTTCGATAAATACTTTCATGGTATTTGTTTTGATGAACTCTCCGCTAATTTACCTAGACTTTATAAATTTAAACGTAATACAAGATTGGTGTTATGGTCTCATCATTTTACAGTTGAAATGATTAGATGTAACTCTAAGTATTATGCTAATACTTTCTTTTATCGAATTTCTCGCCTATGGAGCTCTCTTCCGGCATTTTGATTCCCAGTCAACTTTGTTCTTCAAAAATTTAGAGGCAATGTCAATCGTTATTTTTTGCCTTCATAATTTCTATTCTTGTACTGTCCTCTTTCCTTAGTAGTGTTTTTCTTATCATATTCTCTAACATTCGGTAATCCATTGTATTTTAGTGGCTTTATTGCTTAGCTTTGGGTGAAATGATTAAAAAAAATAATAATATGTACATGTTTTGTCTAAGCGAATTTAAATGGACCACAGTAAATACCAGAGATCCTGTCGGTCATTCTGACCATAATCAGTTGGTCCTGTCCCCTTGGAGCTGACGCACTGTGTATCTCTGTTCATAAACTGGGGTAATGTAGTAGCATCAAAATCGGGTTCCAAGATTTTATTTTATTAAATTTGAGTGACAAGTCAGCCAAGGCGACTTGGAAGTCACATTTCGATACTAGGTCATATACTCACTCGAAGATCGTCTGAGCGGACAAGGTTACTCGACCTGAAGGTATTTCTAAGTCCCGCCTGCATTGCTTTTATCAAAACCTTTCACAATATCCCTCCCTCTTCCTGTTTCCCTGATAGGTATAATCTCCAACTATTAATGGTGTAATGTCAATCGATATCTCCAGATGCCCTGATCTATCCCCTATCCTTCTATTCATCTTTTCCTCTATCAATCCTATTTGCTCTAGCTCCAACTTTTTGTAACTCTTGCGTGCTAGTGGCTTCGCGCCTTGCTAGCTTATAAAAAAAATATCGTGCACATTTGCCTGTGATGCATATCGCTGGTACCCCTTCATTTCATTGGGTGACGGTTTTGATGTGCTGCCCTCTCGCTAGATAATAATAATAATAATAATAATAATAATAATAATAATAATAATCAATGATAATCGCCCAGACATCGTGATTAGAGACCGCAAAGACAAAATGTGCTTCCTTACTGACATGGCAGTCTCTGCAGACTGCAATGTATTTTTGAAGATCTTCAAAAAAACTATCAAAATACAAAGACCTTGAAATCGAAATCTAAAAAATATGGCGCACGAGGACATTAACAATTTCAGTTGTAGTTGGAGCCCTCGGATTGATTGGAAATGATTCCAATAGACTCATTGAAGCCCATGCCTTAAAGAAATACAAAAAATTGTACTCACAAGTACAGCCCACACCTTACGAAGGGCTTTATCTATGTATTTTCAAAACTGCTCAGTGGAAAATGTAATGATGTCATTTCTGAGCTTAGGTCTCTGGACGGGACCCGGAAACAAATGAGTATACACCAGAAACCAAAAGAAATAAAACAATAATAATAATAATAATAATAATAATAAAGAACTTATAACAATTTTCTGGGACTTTACAATGCACACAGAAAGAACAAGAAAAGCTAAACGCCTAGGCATCGTGATCAAAAACAACAAAAACAGAATTTGACATAGCAGTCCCTGCAGACTGTAATGCATTTTTGAAGATCAAAACACAGGGATCTTGAGGTGGAGAACTAAAAATGTGGCACATGAGGACATCAATAATTCCAGATGTAGTTGGAGCTCACGGACTGATTGCAAAAGGCTCCGATAGACAGATTGGGGGGATTCCTGGTAGTCCAATGTCTTAAAGAAATACAAAAAATTGTATTCACAGGTACAGTTCATACTTTACGAAGAGCCTTATCTATGTAAAATGTGTGTGATCTTAGCATTTTTTTTTGTTTGCTTTTATTTTCACAAAAATTATCTGTAGAAAATGTCATGAAGCCATTTCTGACGTTAGGTCTTTGTTTGGGACACGGAAATGTGTACATGACAGAAATCTAAGGTAATAATAATTATAATTGAACTGAATCCTTTATTTTGATCACCGGGGTACATTGTTCTAGTTCCACGTACCATGCCTCTTTCGGATGTTTCAGTTATCTCCCTTTTAATTCATCTCTCCAAGTTTTTGTTCACTACTACAGTACCCAGGTATTGAACTCACAACTATTTGGATCAAGTCACTTGATTCAACCAACGCTTTTATCCAATGAGCTATGTAACCTTTAGCTGTATTATTATCGATATTCACTAATCGTAACCGTTACAACCCTCCACGTCGTCCCAATTAAGACACAGGATTAAAATTACCTTGGCCACTTGTGAGGCCCCTGGACCGTTCTCTTCGACTAAAGAAACAATCAGATTTGCGATGCTCTGTCTTAAATCCAGAACCTGTAAAAAAGAGGATCGAAAAAATGCAAAATAAGATATAGACAAATAATTGAAGCAGAAATGAGTTTTAATGAATAAAGTTAAAAGGAAAACTTATCTTATCTGACACGTTTCGTCTTCTAAGAGACTTTTATCAAGGCAAATGCAAGGATTTTATTTTGTAACAGGTATTTATATACAAGAGCAAAAATGTTACATGTTTTTCAACATTTTTTAATTTAAGAACGCTCATAAATATTTATTAGTTTAGCCGAAAAGTCTAGGCAAACTATGGAGGACGCCAAGTGACACTATTCAATGTCTAATAAACAAAAATTCAATTTTTTTTAAATATAAATTAGTATCTAATTTATTTTAGCTTGAGATTAATTTATGTATTACATATTTTAAATAACATGACGCTATAAATTTAACCTTTTTCTTTTAAAATTTTAACATTTTTATAGACATGCATATTGACCTGGGAAAATAGTAATTCTTTTCATGAATGAAGATATTTGAAAAAACCCAGGGCGCAGATTTATATTTTGATTAAAAATTGTTTGAAAAACCAATAACATTTTTGCTTTTGCTGTCACAAAAGAAAGCCTTTTGCCTTGATAAAGTCCCTCAGAGAACGAAACGCGTCGGCTAAGATAAGTTTCTCTTTTGTCTTTTATTCGTATTGCCTTTTTACAGATATACTCTATTTGAAATTCTACACGTGAATTTTAATGGGTCTTTGCTTTAATCACAGAATACATAAACTTTTACGGCTGTCACATGGACAAAATTCTTGAGGAAAATAATGTGCTTTATAACGAAACCGTGAGAAAAGGGATTTTATAAATACTGCAAAGTTAACAGCTACCTTGCACGCAGTGGTAAAATGCTAAAATTGGACAAAGGCGTATCGAAGGCCCGAGTAGATAAGTTGATATGAACATAAATACAATCAATCAATATATCGAGCGAGTGATCTTTCTCAGTTTCTTCCTTTTCTATAAATATTGGTCCTTTCTTTCTTTCTTTCTTTCTTTCTTTCTTTGTCTATTCATTTATAAATAGATCTCATTCTGTCTGTTAATGTATCATTTAGATATACTCTAACAGCATGCCACACACATTGTAGCGAACCGCCTTCATTTCCTTCGTATTTCATTGGTGAGATGTAAGTTCTACTCGAGCAGCTTCTTCCCACGAACTGCTGCTTTGTGGAACCAATTCACAAGAGGATTCTTCTCTGATCACTACAATCTTGACCTGTCTACGGTTATCTAACCAACATATCACCAAAAATTGTGCCTCTTACTCTGTAGCCCATTTCGTCGAGTGGCTTTTTGGTCTTGTACAGTACAATTTTCTATTTTAAAATATTTCGTTGTTAACGTTAATAACTGAACAGTGTACAATTTTTGGTCTTGTACAGGGTGAACGTTATTGTAAAAAAGCAAAGCAAAGAATGACACACATGGATAGATATAAACTTTTGCACGTGCATCAAGTACACTCACACATATATGCACACCAATAATTACATCCACACACTTATATTCATATATATATATATATATATATATATATATATATATATATTTGTTGGATAGATGTGAGTTTGTGACCCTGGGTTTCACGCTTTAGCGATTGTCTGACGATCGCTAAAGCGTGAAACCTCAGGGTCACAAACTCACATCTATCCAACCAAATATGTTAGCTCTATCTCTGATATTGAGCGCTTTCTAATAAGTACCGCGCATTTAATATATAAATAATTATACATACTTATATATTTATTTTATATTTATATACACACACACACACACACACACACACACACACACACACACACACATATATATATATATATATATATATATATATATATATATATATATTGTGTGTGTGTTTAATGAACCCTGTTACAGAATTGTAGAAAAATGCAGTAGATTTATATTACTGAAACTCAAAAATTAACTCATTTATGTGCTCCAAATTTGAATTTTTATATCCGTATATATTAACCAATCAGCGACGTCATATGAAGCCCACGGTTGCTTTTGAATTTTCTGACAATTAATATTTGTCGCCTGCTATAAAATTTTGAAAGATCACTTCAGAAAATGATGAAAATTATTTTCCCTCCTTCAAATAGATATTTAAAAATTGGGAAAATATTTATTAACTTATAAGTTTAATAAAATCTAACTTTTAGTCTTTTCTGAGACGATTTCTCGGTTATATAAACGCTCGTATTTTTTCGCAGAATTAGTTTTTAGAATTAATCTTTGGCCAGGGGCAATCGTTCGTTGTTGTACAAGCTGAAATTCTCAAACCTTAATTAATTACTCTTATTATTAATAATTATGTGTATTCGAGTATACTATATTAGAAAAAAGCCTTAGCGATGCTGATACACAAAAAACATACGAACCGAGTTATTGTCAAAACAACTTTTTAGGAGTAGTATCATTAACTCAGTTTCACCTGGCGTCTTGGCTACCTACTGGCATGTTACTATTAAAAAATTACACGCATACATAAAACAACATAAAAACGTAGCACACACATAGTCACAAGTAGATGGATTCTATTTCTGTTCATACTAACACAATTGATTCGGTTGTATTGTAAAGAAGACAAACAAAAATATTTTGTGTGAAGTTCTTTCGCAAAGAATCTTTTTTATTCATTTCATTCGATTTGAATGAAATATAATACTCAATAATAAAATTTTATTTAAATTTGTAGAGCCGAGTTGAACATTATTTCTTTCTTCGTTTTAGCCACGCATATTTCTCTACAAGCACACACACACATACATGCATATATATAGGCATGCGTTGCTTCTTCACTTTCAGCGGTAAACTTGACTGCTCCGCCAGACGTATTTTTGTCGTCACTCAAAATATAACACAACCTTGCCCTAAATATACATGTCATTTTAAAATTAGTCATTTTTTTTTCAACCATTGCATCATTGTTGCGAAAATATGACGCAATGTTACTTTTTTTATTTGGGAATGCTAAAAATATTTCCGATAAAATCTAATGAGAATTTCTTCTTTGTTTTACACAATTTTGCCTAAGGAAATTCTCTAATTTGGGATATCCGAAGAAATTTGTAATTCTTACCTTTTCGGTGGAGCAGTTAGCGAAGTCGCCCGCCCTGAGAATAAAGTTGATATAGTCGATAATCTTATTGTCGTAAATCACGACGCGGTTTTCTTGGTTGCTCTGAAATGAAGAAAAATCAAATATTTATTTTACAAATAAAGTTAAATGGAAAATAAAAAGAAAAAAAGTAGAGATTAACTCATAAATGTCTACTGTAAAATCCGGTATCAACTATAAAAAAATAAAAATCCGGTATTAATTATCGGCTTCTGTCTATAACCCATTAATACCTACTTTTATGACGTACGGTGGCCGTTAATAATTAAACATAACTCAAGACATCAATGTTAAATAAAACTGTATTTAATTACAACCGCAAATAAATACTTAACAAGAACAAAGAAGTAAAAGTCAACCAAAGATAATCAACCATTTCAGTGAATACCTTGTTAGTAGCGCTATGGGTAAATAGTAAACCCCCAAACAAAACAAAACACCATGAAGGCATAAAAATACATTTTTATACTAAAAATACTAGCAATATATTTTATAGCCGATATAATAGAATTCACTTAATAAACAAACCTAGAAAAATATGAGGCAAATGATTCTAATGAGATATTTGTTACCTGAAACGACGAATAAGTGAAGATGCAGCTCCTTCAACATGTAGACATATACAGTGTAACCCGGATATAAGAGAGTTGTCGGGACCGGAGAAGAAGTCTCTTATATCCGGGTTTCTCTTATATCCGGGTTTGGTCTATTTTGTTTACGTAAGTATGGGCTGTAATTTGGGACCAGAGAAAATCCCTCTTATATCCGGGTTACACTGTACATGTTAACATAACGTTGTAAAAAAATTGGGGATGAATGGTCAGTTTGGGGTCAGGAAAATAATTGATAGTAATGATGCAGTAAGCTCCCCATAATGTCACATATTATCCAACCTTATATATATATATATATATATATATATATATATATATATATATATATATAACCCATAGAGATGTTGATATGCTACTAAACAAAACAAGAAAAAAAAAACATTTCTTGTTTGTTGGTTTATGTACTTATGTGAAATAAAACTTCTGCTAGGGCCGATGTTTCTGTTTATTGTCATAGAATCGAATATATGAGAAATATAGTTTTAAGGTGTACTATATGTATGGGATAAAGTGCTCAATATCAGAGATAGAGCGTATGTAAATATAAATATAAAAGTGAACATTGAAGTCAAATTGCGTCTAGCATGAAACAGCCTGTCGCCTCTGAGTGTTGACTTCAATGATCACTTTATATATATATATATATATATATATATATATATATATATATATATATATATATATACGTCTTTACATCTTTATCATCATTTAACAGCCCCGATATAATGTTATCTTAAGTGGTGAATAATAAAAGATGCAGCTCCGCTGAGATTGTAAACATTAACAATGCTTGATTGTAAGATGTTGATTCCATTAGAAAGTTTAAAAGTATTTAATGCAGGGGCCTTGAAAATTTCGGGGCCCTCGAAATTGTGGGGCCCGTAGCATTTGTTACTTTTACCATTACGTTAATCCTACACTGTACATGAGTAGTAACACTTATTTATTTCTATAGAAGCGACAGCAGATACAAGGAGCAAAAAAATATCATTGGATAGATCAAATTTTGAGCTTACAAAACATTATTTTTGAGCTTATAATGAAGATTGATTGCAAGATAAGGCTCGTAAAAATCTGCATCACAGACCCATTTTTCACCGAAACGCATTACACAAAATGTGACTGTGCTCAAATCCATTAGTTGGTCTCTATAAATGTTTAACAATCAGCGATAGATATCAATGGTGCTAGTATTCGAGCATCGGGATCGTCATCCTTTCTATTTATTTCATTTTTCTCTTCTGTTGGCAGTGAGAGAGATGGCTGTGAAGGTCTACCCTACTCCTAGTCATGAGAAGAAATCACAGAGGAGTGTGGGTGGTGGACGCAGTTTGGTGAGTCGGCCCTCCTGACAGCACGTAAAATTAACAATACATTTTTAAAGCAAAATGACGAACAATATATTTTATCTAGGTACCTCTACGAAATGTAAACAAAAAGAGCATAACATGACGAAAAAGACGCCGAACTTGACGAAAACAAAATTTTATCGTCTAATGTTCATATTATTATTAAAGAGGCAAGATCAAAGTATTTTGGGGGTATTTTTTTACATTAATAAATATAAACAAAAACATATTTCTGCCACGACTTTCATAAAAAAAACATATTTATAATAATTTCGATCATCTGTGAATAGTTTCTAAAAGTTTCATTAACATCCGACAATTATTTTTATTTTTGCAAGATTTTCCAAATTAATGTGTGTAATACAAAAAAAAAAAAAAAAAAACGTGCTAAAAAATGTCTATGTTATTTACTAGTTCCGGTTGGTACAAAGAGAAACAAGGTTTTTTTAATCAAAATTTAGAATGTTCTAAAAAGAAGGAAATTTTTTTAAAAATAATTAAAAAAACTTTGGTCTTTCCTCTTAATAATAACATAAGCATTTAGACGATAAAATTTTGTTTTCATAAAGTTTGGCGTCTTTTTCATCAGACTATGCTCTTTTTTTTAGCGATTTCGTGGAGGTACCTAATTTTATCTGTAGTTGAAGGCTTACAATTGTGTTCAAACTATATTTAGTTGAAACCATAAAATTGTGGTCAAGAGTCGTGAGTAGAAGTCACAGAGGAGTATGGGTGGTGGACGCAGCTAGGTGAGTTGGCCTTTCTGACAGCACATCGCAGATCCTCTTCATATTGGCCCACACCTGATGGTCTTACGAATGGGTGCAATATTTTTAGTAAGGAAGAATTCAGTGACACACCGCTTCATATGCATTTTTGTCAGACAGCTGCCATTTTAAATAGCTGCTATCGGTAACAAGGTTAAAATAGTATGGTTTATTTCGGAAAGATTTGACCTCTGTTGCCTTATCACCAACATTAGTTCTGGACGTTAGGTAGATTAACATAATGAAATGGTAATTATTACTTTTGGAATGATCATCTTCGTACGGGAAATAAAAAAAAATGATTATTTACTTTCTTTACACTCTGGCTATTGTCCTTATCTTTGTTGTAATTATCAAAATGGGCAGTACAACGACCGAAACGTTGTGGCAATTACAACAAAGATGAGAGCATAAGTCCGAAGGTTATAATATGGATAACGATGACTGTTCATCTTAGAAATTCAGACAAAAAATAAAAATTGTGAGAAGAAATAATAAAAAGTAATTTAAAAAAGAAGGCAAATTTACTCACCGCTGTAAATTCATTGATGGAATCAAAAAGTTGTATAACTAAATCTATACTTTTGCCGTTAATATTTGAATAGACGACATCCAGAAATCTAGTCACTTCGGCGATTATATCAAACGATTTGACGTTGTCCGGTTGTTCTCGCAAGTAATTCTGTCACGGAAGAGAAGAGAGAAAGAAAGAGAGAGAGAGAGAGAGACGATATTAACAATGTTTACGTCTAAGACAATGTCAAGCAAGGTAAGCTTGCTGTGAAGTTCAAACAACTACAGTTGGCAAATATTAGACAGTTACACAGACAAACTTCGTGTAGCACAATGCTACAAGACTAAGTCATGTAGTTAGGATCAAACATGCTGGCGATGAATTTACATCTGATGAAGCTGTAATGAACCGTCCTGGGTATGATGATAAACTACATCCGCGTCCTGGGTAAGACGGTAAACTACGTCCAACAGCAAGGCCTCCGATCAGGAGATTTTGAGGAGCGTGGGACCACCGCTTAATTTCTGACGTTCCCAGTTCCAGCCTGACCCGGTGTGGCAGCACCTCTTAGGGTCCCAGCAAATAGTTAACCCCAAACTGGGATCAAAACATTATGGAAGTGTAAAAATGGGTTTTAATACCATCAATACATTTTTGTAAAAAATTATTACCAGCAATACATTTTTGAAAAAAAAAATTACCTGCAATACATTTTTAATAAAATATTACTAGCAATACATTTTTGAAAAAATATTAACAGCAGTAGATTTTTGAAAAAAAAATATTAGCTGCAATGCATTTTTGAAAAAAAAATATTACCAGCAATACATTTTCGAACAAAAATATTACCGGCAATTAAAATCTTGTCGGCATTAAATAACCCATTGAGACTGATATACCGTAAAATAAAACAAACTTAACCAAGCGGTAATGAAAGTGAAACATATTACATTGATAAACGTTTCCTATTTGTTCTCTTTTATCCTATCATTTTTTCGGATTCCGATACATATTTTATCTTTATTTGATACCAATTCATTTTAATTTATATATATATATATATATATATATATATATATATATATATATATATATATATATATATATATATATAATTACCCAACCTTTTCTTATGTATATAAGTGTTCTCTCTATTTCGAAAATTCTTTAAGCGTGACGCCAATAATAAAATAAAACAAAGAATAGTACATATCTTCAAATCGCCTGAAGATCGCGAGAGCGTGAAACTTAAGTAGCGAATAGAGCTGTGCCTCCTTGAGGGTTGACGTTGCGAAGCGTTTTTTTTTGTTGCTCCATCTCAATAGCCTAGAATTTGAGCCCTTTAATTTACTGGTTGCATAGGTATTTGCCTTTTGATATATTTTCTCTTTGTTAGTTTGTAATATTTCTTGTCTAGGGTTTTAAGTCTTTTGGTAGGTAGTCATTTGATCGCACTAACAATTTTGGATTGTCGTGTGTGTATATATATATATATATATATATATATATGAACTGTTTCAAAGTTAAAATAAGAATGAGTCGTTTATTTTAAATATAATTATCCATTAATAATAACTTCTGAAGTAATAAAAATATCGGTTATATATACAGACTTAATCCATTTCATTATATGTTGTCATTGTCTACGTTAAGATACGTTTCTTGAGCAGATATGATCGATCGAGAAAAATCGTCGAAGATTGTGTGTTTAAAAACAGTAATTTGGACTTTGCTAACCAGGCGCTTCTCTGTAGCTAAATAGTATAGCACGTCTGATCAAATGATCGTTTCCGTATAGGAAGATATGTTCGATTCCTGTCAGAGAACGCATATTTTCTACGAAATTTCTCGAACATAGAGGCCGGTAAATGTAATTAATACTGTTCAATATAATTTATAATGGATTTATTTTTAATCTAACATTTTTGTTAATTCAAACGTTATTATAGTGTGTGTGTATGTGTGTGTGTGTGTGTGTGTGTGTGTCTGTGTCTCTGTGTATGTGTGTGTTTTGAACAATAAAAAATATTAAAAAATTAAAATCTTCAGACACACTGGGTTGTATATTAATATTCTTTCGTTTTTATTATTTCAGTTAGATTCCTCGACTAGTTTCGGCCAACATAGTCATCATCAGGAGAAAAAAATCTGCTTGTTAGTAGCAGTGAACTATAGAAATGAATGACTTGATGGAGAAAAGTAGTTTTCATTTGTTTTTTTTAATTTTTTTAACATTAATTTTGGCCAGTCTTTGTGTTGGTCAAACAGTCAGTTGTTATTTAACATAAGAGCTGGATGGATTCATGCTGCTCTGAATTCCCTTGGTCATTTTGACAGTTTTATTGGTCCCAGGAAAGGGGGTGTGTCTCTGTTAAGTGTGTGAGTTATTTGGTTCTTAGGGAGTGAGTGAGTATGATGTGTGTAAGTGTGTATATTAGTATGGGTGTGTGTTATCATTTGGCTCATTAGGGAGTGAGTGAGTATAATCTGTATAAGTACGGATATTAGTATGGGTGTGTGTATAAGTGTGAGGGCTCAACAGATCTGCAAGCATGTCTGTCTTGTGTGGTGAGAAATGTGGGTAGGTCCTGATTTGTGGGGTTATATATTAATTCTATCTATGTTGTTAAATTTGTGATTAAGGCCGTCTGGGTGGAGCGTTTTTAGGCGCCGAATCCACTTATTTTCTTGTCCTTCTAAAATCTTTTTAATATTATCTGCTCTGAACTTTTCTATTTTCTCAATTATAGTGAATTTGACATGGGTTTTAAAATCGTGTTTTTGTAGGTGGAAATGTTGATCTACAGTTGTTATTAAAAAAAAAGTAATCTTTCATGGGGTGCTGACTTAATTCGATTGCGATAATTATGAATTTTGTAGTGAAAGGGCCATTCAGATTTTCTTACATATTGTTTCTGGCATAGTGTGCATTCTAGGAGGTAAATTATGTTATGACTTCTACAGTTAGAGTTGTGGTAGATTTAGAAAGTAGATTTAGTGACTGAGCTAGTGAATTAATTCGTGTGTCTAATGTGGTTACAGCATAAGATCCTTTTGTTGTTACATGTTTGGGAAAATCCTGTAGTTTTTGTGTTTGGTTTATTACGGATTACCTTGTACCCTAAAATGTGGTTACTACGTATAATTTCCTTTAGGTCCTTAGTCCTACGGTATGCTAGAATATATATATATATATATATATATATATATATATATATATATATAGGCGGCTAATTGAGCAGAGGAAACTGTTCGAAACTTGCCAGTGGTTATGCTAGCACAAGACATTGTAACTGAGGCTCTCAGTGTAATGACCTTGTTCAAACACTGATCACACCAGATTGCGCACTTTGTCTCAGAAATTCATCATAAAAAATTCATCAGTATAAAAACGGCAGATGATTTTGTGGATGTTGAAGAATGGCAAATATGTTTCAGCAGGCGTCTGCATCAGGGAATTGACAGCTGGTCTAGCAGAAAGGGAAGATGGGACAAGAGTGGACAGAAATTATATATATATATATATATATATGTATATATATATATATATATATATATATATATATATATATATATATATATAATCCCTCAACGGTAGCACAACTCGGAGTTTCATGCACAACGCAATCTTCAGATGCTGAATATAGACTCACCGTTAAGCAATTTAAATTTTAAAAATATCTGGTTATTGCAATGCCGGCATATTTCTATATTATACTGGGATTTAGAAAAAAACATGATAAACTGGAAAGGTTTTTTGTGACGCGTTTCATCCGTTAGGACTTCATTGAACAAAAAGTATCCTGGGATTACAGCTTTTAATTAAAAAATATATTTGTCACTTAAAATAAGCGGGATTTTTACATATATGTAAAAAATAATTATTTAAAAAAAAAACAAAAAAAACCAAACAAACTGTTATTTTACATTAAAATTTAATCTGTATCAGCAGATATTTATTTTTATGCCTACGTGTAACCATCAATTCATTTCTCTTGTTTTGGGTTATTTATGTGTCTTAAGATAACTAATTTCTCAACAAGATATAAATTACATTATTTTCTTTCCCGTTGTAAGATTTGCCTCTAGCTACATTATCCCAGATGATAAAAGGTGTATTACCATTATTCTTTAACTGCCAGAAATATTTAGAGAGAGCAGTGTTGTTTTTGTATTTTAAAAAGTCAATCAATGATGATAGAAACTAAATTTCCAAGAATTTTCAGAGGAACCAAAATAAAATTTAACATCGTTACTGGAATGTATGCTTACACGGTATTCAATATTATCAGTCATACATTAATTCTTTAAGGGACAGATCATATTTTTTCAGCAGTTGCATTTTTTTTAAATAACGTTTTTGTTGGAAATATATTTGTTTAATATAATGTTGTTATATTAGGATATAGATTTATCGATGTTATTAATGCAGTTATAGCTGATCTTAACATTTTTGTTAAAAATCTTTACGTTTTGAGAAAAACGTAAAGATTTTTAACAAAAATAATGTCATTAAAAAAAGTAATAAGGTAAATTTGACGGATAAAGAGAAAAGTCTAATAACTTCAGAGCTTGAAAAATGTAGAACAACGCTGGAAATTGCAAAAATAATCGGCTGAACTGTAACGTAACCCATTTAGGTCGGGATTTGAATTTGTTTCACCGATTTCACGTTGTTAATTGTTAGGCTTCCTGCTCAAACAATATTTATGTGGGATCGAGCACCAAGCACCAGAAAAAGACGAAGGTCAAAAAGAAGGTCAAGAAACATATTTAAAGGAGAACTGGGTTCATGCATTCTCAAAAGGAATATGATCATGTTTATACAAATAATATCAATAAAAAAAATAAGTGGAACCGTGTCAAAAATTTTAAATCGGGATCAAATAAATTATTGCTTGTGTTCGCTGGCTCAGTCACGTCCTGATGATCTCGCTACCAGAGTCATCTACCACATTGACCCGCCATCTGTAAACTGGAGACGACTTCGCGCCAGATCACGCAGTCGCTGGAAGGACGTTGTCCGTTAGTACCTCCAGCAGATTTATCTGGCGCTGGAGGATGTCCCAGTGCTCTTCCAAGACCGAGAGAAATGGAGGAACAAAGTGGTTCCCGTGGGCTTCGATGCCTTCATGGCATGAAATTTATCAACAGCAGATCAGCCAAATTGGAAATTTGAGAAAGAATTGGGGCAGTCTGCGAGGATAAGTTAATCGATGAGCGTCTCAGGAGGCGAATTCAGTGTTCATATCGATTATCGCAGAAACGAATGCAAGTTTGGAAACTTGGAAGAAAGTGGTAGTTACCTGGAGTTGTTGGTTTTGACCATCACACATTCGCGCCATGACCTTGAGTACTAGTTCGATATAACCGTCATTCTTGTATTCCAAAGAATTGTCTGGTTGTTCGCTAATAAACTGATCAGGCTCAGTCTCTTCACTCTGAAAAAAAAATAGCAATGTGATAATGAACGCAGGTAACTGAAACTTTAGAAATTGACACAAGGAAAAGTAACTACACGGGAAATCATAGTATTTTGGCAAAGAAAACATACACACGCGATTACACACATTTTATTTGTCTTTTTTTTTACTCATGTTGTCTTAATAAAAGGCTCAAGAGCCACTCAATCTGGAGGTTTACTGAATGAGTTTGCTGTATGGAAGAAATTTTAGTATAAGAAAAAATTATCCAATAGTTTTTTCTGAATATTTCTAAAAAAATATTTATATGCATATTATACCTAGAAAAAATAGAAATATTTTTATGCTATTGTTCACCCAAGAGCCAGTCAATGTAGAGAATTAGCGAATGAGTTTGTTTTAAAGGCGTAAGAAGATGAAGTAATGTTTGCGTAATACAAGGCTCAGGCGGTCTATGATAATAGTAATAGATAAGTTCGCCTATCGTCTGGTTCATATTCCTCCCTGGTCTTTTGAACAGGAGTAGAGATTTATCCCTTGTTTCCTGTTTAAGATTGGGTTTCCGGTGCTTTCTAAAGTCTTTTAATGTTCTTTCACTCCCAGTAGTCCTTTGCGTCTTAGTGGCATTATCGCCTTGCTTGGGATGAAATGATTAAAAAAAAAAATGACTATATCCTGAGATGAGTAAAATCAATTTTTAAAAGCCACTACTCCGGCTTTGTGACAGAAAAGGCAGTGCTAAGTGAATAAGTGAGCAACTCCTGTAGTGCGATAGTTAACAAGCATATTCACACTCCTCCCTGGTCTTTTGAAGAGGAGTAGAGATTTATCCCTTGTTTCCTGTTTAAGATTAAGTTTCCGGTTCTTTCTAAAGTCTTTTCATTTTCTTCCACTCTCAGTAACTCCTTGCGTCTTAGTGGCATTATCGCCTTGCTTGGAGTGAAATGATTAAAAAAAATACTCAAGATAAAACGGTTATGAGGAATGAATGTATGATGAATAAGATGAGTTGAAGAGGAAGTGGTAGGAAGTGAGAATTATGAGGATATGCAGGATAGACAACTGTTGACCCTAGACAAGAAGCGGTTAAGATAATGATGGAGGAAGCATTCTCTCGGACGTCAGTTCCACAACGCCATGATTCCCGGGAAGAAGCTATCTGGGTAGAAGTTCCTTCCTGCCAATGAGATCTGAAGGAATGTGAATGATTCAACTCTGTGCGCCTGAAATGGTGAGTAGTAGCTGTAAAATTTGGAACGAGTCGACCTAAGTAATGTAGGTTCTATGTAGTAGAGAATATAAATTTATTATTATGCTTAATTGGACAAATAGTAGCAAAAAAAGCAATCATTGTAATTCACAGCGCAACAGTTTCCCAGATTTTCTCCGACGATTTGTGGAGTCGATGGAACGTCGAGTTGTTGCACTTTCGTTAGAAAGACTACAAGTGAGACCGTCCTGGGTATGACGATAAGCTACATCCGGTAGCAAGGCCTCCGATCAGGAGGTTTTGTGGAACGTGGAACCACCTCTTAAATGATGTTGTTCCCAAGTTCACCCTGACACAGGGTGGAAGCATCTGTTAGAGTACCAGCTGTAGGCAAATAGTTAATCCGCAAATTGGAGTCAAAACACTATGCAAGTATAAAAAAAATACATTTTCACAGTAAAAAAAAAATCACCAGCAATACATTTTTGTGAACGGAATTATTAATTCTCTCAAGAAAATTAAATTTTGGCATTAAATAATCTATAAGTAGTTGATATGTCGCTAGAGAAACAAAGAAACGTTACTAGTCAGAAGGCACCTATTGCGTGACTTTTGGCACGTCAGGATAATTCATAGCATTCCAGTTTATCGGTCATTTAATAAGATTTTTCTTTCGCTTTTGAAATTTGACAGGAGTAATTTTCTTTTACAATAGTAAATGGATGCAAGAAAATTGTAAGTTAAAATGTGTGCAACTTCAAGAGAAAACGACAATATTCTCAAGTTATCAAATACGATTATAGCGATTTTCGAAGCGTAGCTCAGATGTGGTACGTGGCCGAAAGTATGGGGCAGCCAGTAAGGATCGAACTCACTAAAAAGGACGCAATTGTTTTAACGAGACAAGCTTGCTAACCATTACACGACCTCGAAGTGCTCATCAAACACGATTATATGTGTTGACTTGTTTTTGTGCGAAACTTTTGGGACACTCATTTATTCTCTTCTTTTTTTTGTTGTTGTTGAAAACATCATTTTAATTAACGTAATCTGTGTCGCAACGTTTTGACCGTTTATTCTGCAACATTCCTCAGGTACACTGAAACTATTATAAAATAAAAATACTATCTCTGTCTATATTTCTGAGATGAGGTATTGTAACTATTTACACTATTTACATTGTTCGGACTGTTGTCCTCATCTTTATTGTCATATTCACGACACTCTACCCTTCTTCAGGATCAGTTCATATTTCTGAGATGAGGCATTGTAACTATTAGTAACAATTTACATTCTTCGGACTGTTGTCCTCATCTTTATTGTCATAATTACGACATCTCAGCCTTTTTAGGCATCGGCTTTCTTCATGATTTCTCGATATTTATGAGATGTGGTATTGTAACTATTTACATTGTTTAGACTGTTGTCCTCGTCTTTATTGCCATATTCACGACGCTCCGGCCTTCTTCAGAATCTGTCTATATTTATGACATATTTTAACTATTTACACTATTTACATTGTTCATAATATTGTCCTCATCTTTATTGTCATATTTACGACGTTTCGGCCATTGTATATTGAGTTATCAACGGGAACTAACTGAAAATGAGATATCCAAAAGAAGGCATGGCACGTGGAATTAGAACAATCTACCCCCGGGGACCAAATAAAAGGTTTGATTCGAAATTCTAACAAGTACCACCTGAAGAAGGCCGGAGCGTACAACGGCCAAAACGTCGTGAATATGGCAATAAGGATGAAGACAAGTCCAAACAATGTAAATAGTGTAAAGAATACTGTCATTTTAATTTGTTTCAATTCTGAGATGACACTATTTTTTATTGTGGATTTGTTTCTGTTAATCTTGTCGAAACTTTTATCGTTAAGCTATTGGACGATATAATTCTGACTGGTAGCAGAATTAGCATGTAATCTGGTTAAAGAAACAGCGACTATTATCTTTTCACTAGATTTTATTAACTTTAATAATGGAAAAGGATGTCGATTAAAAAATAATAATGAAAAGCCTTCTCCTCAAAATTCAAATAATTAAAAGAAGTTACTTTTGTTCATAAGCTTTCTGTTTATCAACCTGGAAGCTGTTTTTTTTTCAAATTATACATAAGATATTTTATTATACGTTTTTGACTCAACAGATTTTTATTACAGCTGTTATCTTAACGTTCCTTATATATTTTTAAAAAATAACTAAATTTGTGAAAATCATTTATCTATATATATATATATATATATATATATATATATATATATATATATATATATATATATACGTTTTACTATATATATTATTAATTTTGGTTTGTTTTCTTCTTGTCTTTCTTTTCTTTTTATCATTCCCTTTCAACCACTAAAATAAGCAGTATACAGGAAAAATGACGACAGGACCCTAGATTTGAATCCCATTATAGCATTAATCTTCTGTTGCTGAATTGGTAAAGGCGTGGTCCATGTAAGTCGAGCATCTGAGGTAGGGTAAAGCGGGACACAAAGTAACACATGGTAAAAAGTAACGCAATGGGCTCTTGTGTTATTTTTTCTTTAAGTGTTACTGTCCTTTTCTCGCCTCATCGCTTAAAAACAAACGAGAAGAGCACAATGTCGAAAATAGACACATGTAAGTAGAGTTTCCCTTATTTTGTATATTGTGTATTATAATAAGATTTTTAGACTGTTTTCAAATTATCATTTTATGTTAAAGTTAAATAAAATTAGATTTGAAGTGTAAATCGGGTATCAGAGTGGTTTCATTGTCCTAATTTTATTTGCTACAATTTTTACCCCGCCCTGTTACTTTTTACCTTACCAGTGGAAGTAAAAAGTAACATTTTACTATTTGTCTTTTTTTCACTTTAAGTCATTAAATTGAAATGATACCCTCATCATATATATGATTACTTAACAATAATGTTCATGTACAACTTAAATAACCATGTCCGTCTTTAATTATATGGTCGGTATAGCAATTTCAGAAAAGTTGTTACTCCGTGCTCAGTTTTACCCGATATACTGTGAGTTTAACTGCTGACGGAGGCTAAAATTTGAATCTGAATTAAACGTTGCTTTAACAGTCACAAACTAGGGTTGGATAAAAAAGCAAGTATAAACTGAAGAAATGAATGAATTAAAGAAAAAAATGAAATGTTATGGTATTATGGAAAAACAAAGAATAAATAATTAAAAAAAAAAAAAACGGACTTACTTCAATTTTGATTGACACTTCCGGTTCCGCTTCGTTCATGTCAATCATTAACGCTTCTTCCTCCTTCATCATTGGATTGGCAAATGTGACCTCTTTTTTAAGTCCATTTGCCTGAAGCTCTTTCTTCGTTTTTCCTTTGGTCACTTTCTTTTGTGTTTTCACTTTTTTCACTTTTGGCGAAGTTTTCTTCGATTTGCTATTTGGAGGCGGGAATTTTTTCTTCGTCTGCAATTTAAAAAATAGGTATATATATATATATATATATATATATATATATATATATATATATATATATATATATATATATAATTTCGTTAAAGACGATTGACAAGGTACTGCGATTAAGCTTTTTATTTAATTTTTCTTGTATTCGTATAAATATTTTTCTGGACACAAAGTGCGTAAAAAACTGTCCAAAAGTTCTGCATATCGGAGCGCTTTCGGCTATTCTTTTACCCATTATCAAAGGCGAATTTATTTTTAACAGAATGTGTGTTTTTTTTATGTATGTGTCTGAAGTTATGAGAATATTTTATTTTCCAAACACCGTCAGCACATTGTGGCCGTGTTCGTAGTTAATGTTACTGAGTGTTGGCTTTTCCTTTTTTATTATTAAGGATTCCATTATTTTTGTTAATCTTTTTTTACATGTGGATGTAAAACGAAACCCTACCAAACTCCATCAAAAACATACTAGTAGAAAAACAAGTATAATAGCCTCATCAATCGCAGTACCTTGTCATTCGTCTTTAACGAAACATGTATAAAAGAGGGATTGCTGCCCAAATACACTATATATATATATATATATATATATATATATGGAAAGTTTTAACGTATTTTTTCTTCATCGTTCGTATTGTATTGTGTTGTTCTACGGCACGTGATCAATAGTCAAAACTATTTCTGGAATTTCGACGAAAATCAAATTCTGTATTTGTTTGGGGTATGCCATAACGGAAATTTTCTTTATAGCTTCACAACCTGCCGAAGCTAGAAAGAGGTCAGTTATTGCATTTTCTACCCCTCTTGCTTTATGTCTTTTACTTTTTTTTAGCCCTAACCTAGGCGGCAAAACACCGGATCCAAGTCTCGGCAAATTCTGGTTGATCCAAGCAACTTATCCTATCGATTATGCCATAATTAGATGAGAAGTCCCTCTACCGTTTTCAGTTATACGGAAAGATTCTTTTTGTATAAGCAAGATTGTTCGATGTAAGATTATAATTTCTCTTTTATTATTAATATTCTAATATGAAAAATATTTGTGCTTAGACAAAGGAACTTTATCGAACAATTTTTTCTTAAAAACATTTTTCTACTTTGATATTGTTTCTACGGTAAACTTATCAAGAACAAATTAAATCTAATTCGTTTTTCTTTTATGCTACTAATTACTATTACGCAGTTACTATACATGACTGGCGTCACAGATAATGAAACTTGACGCAGGTGGATGATGACAATAACAAAGATATTGTAAAATAAACATTTCGGTATTGTTTATACTTCGTGTCCGCAAAAAAATACTTTTGATAGATTGATTTTTTTTTACGGCTTATCAACCTTTTTAATTAAAACCAAAATATATTTTTGGTTTATAACAATTTTGGAGATAATAACAATTTTCTGATACCAGTCTTACTATTTAATCCATAGCTGGGAGGAGAAGATATAGATTAATATCTTTCAAAAGGATACTTACACTTAAGTGGATATAACGGACGCGACTGGAATACGAACTCGGATCTCCGATTTCTCCTTCCGAGATTTTATACATTACACCATCCGCAAACTTACAATACCCGGTATTCCCCAGTGGTTTACCCATCTAAGTACTGACCAGGTTCAACGTTGCTTAACTTCAGTGATCGGACAAAACCCGGTGTTTCAATGTGATAAGCCTTCTATACATTTTTGACATCCTCGGAAATGTTTATTGTTTTAAAAATCAATGGTGAGAATTTTAATTAAACCCAAACATATGAAAGTGAATTTATACATTTTCTTTATTCTTGAGAAGTGAAAATAAAGATATTAAACACTATTTATTTATTAGATTGCTTAGTTACAAGAATAACTTAATATTTACAAAACTATAAACATATGTAAACCAACGATAATGCAAATATATGTTACCATTTTATGAAAAAATAAATATGAAAATATTTTTTATTCATCATACTTATTATAAAACCCAGGTTGTGTGTGTGTCTGTTCGTTTATATATTGGATCGGATTTCCTACATTTTTCAACCGATTTCAACAAAACTTCACAGCACTGCGTAAAATTACCTTGCGGTGGTTCTGACAGCGCCAAAAATCGGAAAAACACAATTGTTTCTGCACGAAATCAATTTGAAAACACGATTAAGAGGCTTTGCTCTCGAGAATGAAAGGGGGACAACTCATATCGAGTTATACTTATTATAAAACCCAGGTCGTTTGTGTGTGTGTGTCTGTGTTCGTTTATATATGGGATCGGATTTCCTACATTTTTCAACCGATTTCAACAAAACTTCACTTTTTTTTGGCAGGTAGTGTTTCTTACTGTCTTGTACACTTTTTTCTTTATTTTTACATTCAGAATACTTTAAAAATTCCATTTACAAGACAATTGTTTATAATAAAATTCTATTCAATCGGTAGACTCATAACGATTAAAAACAATGTTTTTTGTTTGAGTTTGGGTTTGACCAATTCGTAAAAAAAATAAACAAAAAAAAAAAAAACTAATTAAGACATGTGTGTCCGTCAACCTTAAACAATAATCTTTGTCAATTTTATTTTTCTGTCTTTATGATGGTCGATACTTGATCTATCTCTTACTGTTACATCCCCGGGCAACGCCGGGTTCTACTGCTAGTAAATTTATAAAAATGTCTGTGAACAAGAAAATTTAAATAACGCACAATAACGAATATTGGTAATTTTCGACGCATTTTTTTTTTTCAGTAGCTCTCACCACATAAATTCACTAAAATAGGTTGAGAGCATCTCTTGTTCTGAATCAAACATTATTTTAAGTTTAGACTTTAGGAGATACAACAAACATTCAATATTTAGAGTATGTATCTCCCTATTAATTGGATGGGCAACGTTTTCCTTGTGTATATTTAGAGAAGATAAGTTTTACCGCAAATATTGCATTGAGATTGGTTTAAATATTTTGATAATTTTGTAATGTCTTATAATATTTGAATAAAAAGATTTCTTTTCAAATTTATTTCTTTATAAAATGGTAGATAATCAATTTTTATAAAAGGTAAATAATAAATATTGCATGGTTCACATATGTTTATAAAATAAACATTGCTGAGGGAGTCAAAAGTTTATACAGTGATAGCGGTGTAAAGGAAATAACCGTCCTTTTGACATGACGTTTTTGTTTTCGGCCACGAAGGTTAAATATTTTTTTTAATCGTTTTACCCCAGGGAAGGTGGGAATGCCACTGATACGAAGAGAGTTACAAAGATTGAAGGTGATTACCAACATTTGTCAGTTATCTTATTCGTTTCTTTCAAATTGGTATTAAAAGCTATGTGAAAATAATTTTAAGGACACTATACACCCAATAGTTTCGTATAACGTAACTGACAGCTAACAACAATAATACTGAGACATCGGTCTAATTTCATTATAACCAGTTACGATTTACGACTTGGTCTCTCATCCGGCGCAAATATCTTCTCCAGTTAGCGAACACGAACACACACACACACACACACACACACACACACACACACACACACACATATATATATATATATATATATATATATATATATATAGATAGATAGATAGATAGATAGATAGATAGATATATTCTGTATTTAATCTTCATCTCGAGAGGCACCTGCAAAAGCTTAGCGTTAATAAATTATACAGGGTGCGGTGGAAATCCTCCCACATATTCCGCCCACATAATGGTAAGACATTGGTGACAATCGTGTCTCCCTCTAGCTAATGTCTTACCATTATGTAGGAGGGTATTTCTGGGAGATATATGTCGGAGGCATTTCTGCCGCACCCTGTATATTTATATATGTACGTAAGACACACACACACATACGCGCACGTCCCCTCCACATATTCTGTATTTAATCTTAGTATAGATGAACACCTACAAAAGCTTAGCTTAATCCATCTATATACACACACACGCACATAACACCCCCAACACATATATCTACAGGGTGTAACAAAAATACGTTCGTGGCGGATTCCTCACACTAAAACAAGGAGAAAAGTCCATATAAACATATGTCCGTAAATCCTTCGTTTTTGAGTTATTAACTTTAAATAAAGTTTACGGTAGATGGCATTGATTTGTCATTTAGACGAGGTTACATTTGTCATTCATGTATATTTGTGGCTAGTCTGTCTTCAGCGTTTAACGTGTGTAGCAGTGAGTTAACTGAGAAGTTTTCTGTTTAACAATGACAGGATATTCATATCGTGAGCAGGCAGATATGATTTTTACATTGGGCGAATGGTAATGGACGCGTGGCTGCACGGCTGTATCAGATTGCATTTCCAGACTGAAGGTAGCCGAGTCATTCAACCTTTGCAGCTGTTTGTCGTCAAAAACTATGGATCTAGGAAGATGAAATCCGCTTGTACGCCTGACCACGAAGAACACATTCTACAGGTTGTCGGAGACAATCCTGGTATCAGAGCACGTCAAGTACCCCCAGCATGCCGTATATCTCATAGTATCGCATGGAGTACACTTCAAGAGCAGCTCCTGTATTCGTATTATTTGCAACGTGTGCAGGGTCTTTCACCCTCTGATCATTCATTGCAGGAGAACTTTTGCCGATTGTTTATTGCACAAACTGCCGATCCGTTGCTTGTCTCCTCAGTCTTGTCTACGGATGAGGCAACATTTGGAAGAGATGGAATAACAAATTTACACAACCAACATTTGTGGGGTGGATCGGAATCCTCATGGTACAATATAAGCAAGAAACCGGCATTAGTTTACGATTAATATGTGGGCTGAAATTATAGGTGACTGTCTTGTAGGTTCATATGTTCTCCCAGCACGTCTACAGAGACTTTATTTTGAGCACACTTCCAGACTTGCAAGAGGATGTAACCCTGCTAATACGAAAACGCATGTGATTCATGCACGATGGCGATCCAGCACATTTTAGTTAAATTGTTCGTGATGCACTGGCTGACATCTATCATGGAAGATAGATAGGTAGGGGAGAACCGGTTCCATGACCTGCACGTCCCCCGAACTCAATCCTTTGGAGTTTTATCTGTGGGGCAACCTAAAACAATTGGTTTATGTAGCAGATATTAATAATGCAGAGATGCTTCATAAACGTGTCATGCGAAACCATTCGTCACCGTGTGGAAGTATTTAAAAGGGTCCGCCAGTCAATGATCTGATGCAGATGCATGCATGTGTAGAGACAGCAGAAGACATTTTGAACATTTGTTATGAGTTGAGGTACAACGATGGCCTCACGCTCCTTCCAGGTCTTTTGAATAGAAATAGAGGTTTGTCCCTTGTTTAGGATTGTGTTTCCGCTTCCTTCTAAGGCCGACTCATTCTCTTTCACCCCCAGTAGCCCAGTGCGTCTTAGTGGTATTAGTGCCTTGATTTGGGTGAATTAATTAAAAAAAATTACTCAAGATGAAGAGTTACTGTTAAAATGGTTACGAGGAATGAATGATGAATGAGACGAGGGAAAGGGGAAGAGAAAATTATGAGGATATGTAGGATAGACAACGGTTGGCCCTAGACATGAAGAGGTTAAGATTGTGATGGAGGAAGCATTCTCTTGGGCATCTGTTCCACAAAGTAATGATTTCCTTCGACGATACGAAAGGAATATGGATAATTCAACTCTGTGCACCTGGCATGCTGAGTCATAGCTCTAACATTCGGAACAGGTGGAACTAAGTAATGTTGGTTCTATGTAGTAGAAAATATTACAGTTCATTATTATTGTTGTGATATGGGGGTCTGGAAAGACACAACACTTAACTCGACCGAGTCAGTCATGATAGTAATACTAGACAAACTACTGCATTAATATTAGCATTCTTTTTCGTTTTCGAGACAATTACCGAGGACTACTTGTCATGAATGGATCAGTCCATTCCTGATACTAAGAAGGGTATGTGGCTCTTACCATAACAATTATGCGTGGTCAGACAACTGGTAGCATAAAAGCAATTATTTCAATTCACAGCTTCCGTAGCTCAACAATTTTACAGCTTCTCCGACCACTTATGGAGTCGATGGAATGTCAAGTTGTTGCACTTTGGTTAAAAAGGTTACTAGACAGACCGTCCTGGACATGATGATAAACTACATCCGGCAGCAAGGCCTCTTAATTGCTGTTGTTCCCAGGTCCACCCTGACTCGGCGGGGTAGCACCTGTTAGGGTCCCAGGTATGGGCAAATAATTAACTAAGTAATGTCGCTCCTATGTAGATAATAACAACAAAGATGAGGACAACAGTTCGCATGTAAATAATGGCGTCGTTGTTTGAAGAAAGAAAGAATAAGGAAGAATTGAGTATGTAAGTGATACTGATGAAGGGCCTGCACTCATGAAGCCGCACAGTTTAAAGACATGTAGACAAACGTGTGTGTTTGTGTTTCAACAAAATGGCGGCCTCTTCGGAATTACTTTTTAAGCAAACAATTTCTGAATTCGTATCTTTCGTGTGTTCGATGCTATTTATCAGACTGCTTGTATATTGGTGAAATTTCTATTGGTTCTAATGGCGCGTATCGTGTCCGTCCTGTGTTCAATGGATTGTTGCTTCATTTTTCCACCAATGAATTTCGATTTGCTGTCATTGCAAATTAGTTTTAATGACAATCTTCTGGGGCTGTCCATGTTGAAGTGGTTGAAATATTTATAGCCACATGTGTCTGGGATGAACCTTTCCTTTCTTTCTTTATTTCTTCTTTGTTTCTTGTTAAAATTTTATAACAACTTTTCTTTCTTTCTTTCTTTTTCTTTCTTTCTTTCTTTTTCTTTTTCTTTCTTTCTCAGATTTTAAAACTTCTTTTTTTCTTTCTTCACCGCTTTTTTCTTTCCTTACATTTCTAAATACATCCTTTCTTTCTTTCTTTCTTTCTTTCTTTCTTTCTTTCTTTCTTTCTTTCTTTCTTTCTTTTCCTTTCTATCTATCTATCTATCTATCTATCTATCTATCTATCTATCTATCTATCTATCTCTCTCTCTCTCTCTCTATATATATATATATATATATATGTATATATATATATATTATCTCGACCAAAATATTGTATAAAATGACAGAAAGAACATATGAATCTATCTATCTATATATCTATCTATTTGTGTGCGCGTACAAGCGCGCGTTTGTATACAGGTATTTCCCGCTTTTTTCTTCACACCGCTTCACTTTTACGAAAAACCTACATTGGTACAGATTTACTCCACTATCCTAAATATTTTAATTATAAAAGCCATCAACATAGCTTATTTTTAAAGTTCATAAAAGAAAAGATTGGAAATGGATAACAAAACAGTTAATTATTTTAAATTTTAAAACTGAACATGCAAATTAGTTATAATCATTAAACAAAAACCGCTAATATCTGTCTATATTTCTGAGATATTGTAATTATTTATCCTATTTACATTGTTTGGAGCGTTGTTCCTCATCTTCGTTGCCATATTCACGACCTTTTAGCCGTGGGATGAGGTTGAAATAATAGACAGAGAACATCACTGGAAAATACGAAAACAAGGAATCAGCGCATATGCTCGGCTACAAAAATCTCCTAAGCCGGCCAAGTATAGACGTGGATACAGCGATTATCCAAGCGTAGATTAGATGTGGCACAATGCCGAAAGTATGGGGTATCCATTGAGGATCGACCTCATTACTCAATGAAAAATTGTTCTAGCAAGACAAGATTGCTATCCATTGCAACACTTCGAAGTGCACAAATAGACATGGATACAATATGGGAACCAGTAATACGGAGTGCTAGAGAAAAACAATAATAACATCAAAATTGTAATATGAGCTCTGGTAAAAAAATGGTTACTGAGACATTAGATTTATAAGTCTAAAAATTCATCCACGTGGTGCAGTGGATAAAAGCGTTGGTTGAATCAAGTGACTTGACCCAAAGAGTTGTGAGTTCAATACCTGGCCACAGCAGAGGTGAACAAAATCTTGGAGAGTTGAGTTCAAAGGGAGGTAACTGAGACATCCGGAAGAGGTATGACACTAGAACAATCTACCCCGGTGGAAGAAATAAAGGGTTCAGTTCGAAATTCCAATCAACAGGGCAGCAAAGACGATGACAACAGTCCAAACAATGTGAAGCTACAGCAGAAGTGAGCTGATACATTCAGAAGAGGAATGGCAATCTACCTCAATGGACGAAATAAAGGATTCGGTTCGAAAATCCAATCACCTGAAGAAGGCCATACACTGAATATGGTAACGAAGATGAGGACAATGTAAATAGTGTAAATTCTTGTTTAATGTCATATACTGGTAGAGAAAAATCATACAACTGCGATATCAATATTTTAAGTAATTTCCTAGTTTACGAGGAGACAGAAAAAATTGAGTTTTATATATTAGATAACGAAAATTCGTCTTAATTAAACAAACGCCGCGTATTATTTTTCTCGTTCTGACACCATTGCATGCCGATCACCTAATCTAATTTAAATTATCTGTATACACCATGAAATCAAAAGCGACATGACTAATAATAGATATCAGCATATCATAATAACACTAGAAGACTCTCTTTTTGAAACCTAAGTCTGATCTCTTCAGATCTAGGTTTCAAACTAGGTTTCTTACGTGTCGTGTCCCTTAACGATGTGGGCAGTTATATCCCTCCACAACTTCCTAGCAATATTAGTCTTTCATCCCCTTCCAATTCTGCCACAACATAGCAGATTCTTCTTTTGAATTTATCAAAAATATATAGAAGTACCAGACAATATGTAGCAGCAATATTCAAAGCGTAGACTGATAAATATGTATCTATCACAAAATTTCGACATTGTGGAGTAATGGATAGTGGATCGGATTGAGGAATCGGAGAGCTGAGTTCGAATTTCAGTCGAATCTGTTACATTCATTTACCCTTGGGAAAGATATGAATCATCTTCTCCCCACAGCTATAGCAGGACAGACCGGGTTCTATATCCGTGGATGGCAACTGGTCTACCGCATAAAGAAATGGCAACCTACTGCGGGTAAAAATCAGCCTCGTCAGTCTTATATCGGAAGATACATGATCGCCTAAGCGTGTATCACGCATGGTACATAACTGACTGAAAGCAATATAACCCTCCGGGAATTTCGAACTGAACCTATTATTTAGTCTACAAGGATAGAATTTACAAATTCAGCTACCAACGTCTAGGGATATCTCGTTTTGTTCTTTTTTTTTTTTTTTTACTACTCTTTAGGTATTACTAATCCTGTTTCCAGCCCGGGGATTGAACTCACAATTGCAAATTTACGTTTAAATTCATTCGGCCACAATCTTGAATCTAGAACTGGGAACTTTAAACATATTATTCTTATTGACTACCTGTTGCTACTGCAGCCTTGCTGTTACGCTTGACTGCTTTCGCCTGCCGCTTCTCTTCTTCATTGCTATAGCCTTTGCTGTCAAGTATGATTCTCTATGCTGTTTTTCTTCTTTCTTTCTTTCTTTCTTTCTCAGATTTTAAAACTTCTTTTTTTCTTTCTTCACCGCTTTTTTCTTTCCTTACATTTCTAAAAAACATCCTTTCTTTCCTTCTTTCTTTCTTTCTTTCTTTCTTTCTTTCTTTCTTTTCCTTTATATCTATCTATCTATCTATCTATCTATCTATCTATCTATCTATCTATTACTGACCTATTGACTCATGGTCCCCTATGCGAGCTAGTCCTTCATACACTGATAAACAGACAAGCTTCTGATAACAATCTGATTGTTTTTTTCACAACACTTGTACATGCATTTCTCCATACTGCAACCTCATGCACACTGCACACACATCACTTTTCAACCATTCACGCTTGAAAGAAATTGTGGTCATTAATGGCTCCCATATGGTATTTATTTCTATGCTAAGCATGCTGAGAAAACCGTCTTTGCCTCACATATGCGCTGATCCCTTCGGATCTCTGACTCTCTTTTCCTTTTTTCCCTGTCTATTATTTTTACTTTATTCCATAAGTGTTGGTAACTAACCGTTTCCCTCCATAATGTTTTGATAACAACAGGTCATTAGTCCTATCGTAAATAATGTAAATAATGATAACTACTCATCCCAGACATTCAGACAGAAATTATAAGACTATCAAATTATTAATCTTGTTATAGTTTTAAGCTATGTCAACGAATCTAAGAAAACTGTTACGCAAATTAAATTGGTTCAACAACTGCAGTTTTAAATAATTCCAGAGAAATAATTTCATTTTTTTTGTAATAAAATCATTTATTTTTGTATATGGAACATAGATTATCCCCGAATTTTACAAATATTTTTCAATATTAAAATTTCAATTCATCTCATCTTAGAGCAGGTTTTCTTAATCTTGTTTAATTCACGAACCCCTTTTATTCCGGACCTCTTTAATTACGGACCTATTGACTCATGTTCCCCTATGCGAACTAGTCCTTCATACACTGATAAACAGACACGCTTCTGATAACAGTCTGATTGTTTTTTTCACAACACTTGTACATGCATTTCTCCATACTGCAACCTCATGCACACTGCACACACATCACTTTTCAACCAGTCACGCTTGAAAGAAATTGTGGTCATTTAATTCTTACCAGTAAATGAGAAGATAATCAAGCCGTGATAAACTGTAGAAAATGAGAAATATTACTTGCTCTTATGGAGTGGCAAAATATGGCGGTCGTGCAGAGAATGATGACACGCATTTAAATGGTAAACATAGTTCCAACAGCAAGTCAAGAGACATCTGGCGGCCGGCACTGCAAGTAGTAGCCGAATGTGTTTTCTTTCAAGCTGTGGCAGGATGCATTTTCTTTTATTTCTTTCAATGTGAAACCGTTGATTGGGACAACGATTGTATAGTGAATTTAAATGTTAATTTTTATCTGAGCCTCAGGGACCCCTAGGAGTCCATGGATCCCAGCTTAGGAAACCTTGTTTTAGAGTATAACTTTTATTAAGTTAAAAGCCAGTACGAAAAGATCAGGCTAAAGTAACAATTGTTTTATTAATAATTCGTGAATAGCATTTATGTGAGAGAACCATCGTCTTGAGAAAAATTTCCAAATGGTTTTGATTGCCATGTAAACAAGAACCATAATTCTATTTTACCATTCTATGTTTTTATGGGATTTTTTTTTCAGTCTCGCTTTTTGTAGCTATCGATGCCATTCGTGACTCTGCTGCAAGACAATTATCCTGAACAAAGTGGGTACTGAAAAGTTCTAAATCTCAGATACTTTTTAAATTTGACCCAACATTTATATTACTTTGAAAGAGCTTTTTGGTCAGGATGAAAACTTTCCATCATTCACCTTGTATAGATATATTTTTTAGCGTGAGATTCACGAATGGTATTGATAACTAGAAAAGTAAGATAGAACAATAGATTCTCTCAAACCTTGAGGTGTTTTATGCTTCATCCAGGCATGGCATTGGCGGCTTTGTAAAGTTATGTTGGTAACATCTGATAAGAAAACGAGACTAAATTATTCTTACGTAAAATAATTGTTTATTCAATTCTGGACTTCGACAAATAAATATTGACCGAATCGTGTGGTATGTGGTTTGGTGTCTTTCTTCGAAATTTCGATCTTTTCTTGCAAGGATGCGAGGAATTCTGCTGTCTCATCTCATTGGTCAAACATTTATATAAATTCCTGCTACCCGCTTGTCCTGTGCGTGCATATTCAGAGTTCAACTGGGTTTACTTCCTGTTTGTGTTGGTGCACTTCCGACAATTTATGAAGCCCAATTCTGCACTGAAGCCACCTAGTTTATTTGACATTCTGAGATAGATACCAGGTACAAAACTTTGGTATTTCTTAAGGTGGACCCAGTACATATTGGGATCAACACAGATAAACGTTTCTTCGGTCAAAGGTTCCTGATGGAAATTAAATTCAATCAGATCTCTGGTATTACCTGGCGTGTGTCACGTACCATAACTATATAAGCTAGGATTTTAATTCCATTCAGTGAATAAAATTGACAATAATACCCGATAATGATATACAGAGGTTAAATAGGTACATTTTTTAGCAGAAAAAGAAAGCAAAATCCCAATGAACAGAAAACAGAAAATCAACGGCTCTTTGCCAATTGTAAAATTTATATGTTTGTATAGATATTTACTCTGTTTGACACAAGGTCAGACATTTAAGGCACCTAGTAAGGATCGAAATCACTAGAAAATGAGTGTTCTGAGATATTAACATGTTAACCATTTAAATATTTGTGTAATTACGACTTGTACACCACAATTTACAATACTATGAAAACAACAACGGTAACAAAATATTTGATTAAACATTTCACACAAAGTCATTGATCAATTGTCATCGAAAATACAAAGACAGTTACAGACATAAAATCAATTCCAATTGCAGGTTGAATATCCCTCAAACGGCATTTTGAGCAAGCTCGCATTAGCATGAATGTAATCGACCAAGGCAACACCGTTCACTGGACAGTTTTTCTATTTATCAAGAATCAATTAACCGAACACATCCGATGGCTTTGACCAATCGCAGTACATTTGCCAAACTCAATACCTTTCGATATATTCCTGTTTGAATTCATATGACGTTGTTTAATTAATATCCAATGATTATTCAACAGAGTTTCCTCTTTTTTGTTGTTTTGTTCCCAATGTTTTCTGAGATCAAATATTGTTAGTATTCAATGTCTGATCTCTGTTGTGCTTTTATTTCCCAAAATTATATTCTATTTTCAATTAATGTGTGGATATCCGAGATAAGGTAGTGTTAATACTAAATGATTATTTCAAACTAGTCTCCTTATTCTTGTTGCTTTGATCATAATTTTCGCGCCATCGTCTGAAAAAATGATGTCAAAGACATGAAAGATACACATGCTCGTCCGAAAGAATCTTTGAATGAAATTCATTTCAGAAATTGCGAGAGAAATTGAAAGTTGGAGACGAAAATGACGAAAACATGTAATTTCGAATGTATAATTCAATGTATGGGTTTATTTCATTTAATTCGAATGTTTATGTAATTACAGAACTCACTGTAATACTGACATATAGGAAGAAAATGAGTAACTACCTACACCGAGGTTCGAGCGTGACACTGTGAACTTATGAATATATGTTTTCCACCTGGTGTATAAATAGCGGTGTCAGGCTACTGACTGCACTGATTATTGAGTGACTATTGAGTGGAACTATCCAGTCGAATTAGTGTGAATTATTGTGCGTCGATGATTTGGGTTTTGATTTAGGATTTACCGGACGTTAAGCCGAACCGCGCTACTAACAAGCTGTTCACTGAAAGGGTTAATTATCTTTGGTTGACTTTTACTTCTTTGTTCTTGTTAAGTATTTATTTGCGGTTGTAATTAAATACAGTTTTATTTAACATTGAAATTTTGAGTTGTACATAATCATTAACGGCCACTGTATGTCACAAAAATACAAATATGCAATATTTTATCCAACCTTTCAAAGCAGACACTTTGTGGAAATCGGAGTTTTGTTCCGATTTTTGAATGCTAGTAGTGGTAAGGGTAGACAAATCGATTGTTAGTGAGTTGCAGTGTGTCTTTAGTGAACTGTATAAATATTAACATTGCATGTGTGTGAGCGTGGTGGAGATTAAGACGACTGCAGTCATTTTGTACACTAGTAAATGAAATCAGAAAAAGCCTACCAATGCACTACTGATATGTAAAGAAATGAAAACAATGTTCGGTTTTTAGCGCTTTTCAGTTTTCCAAATTTCGGTTAAGAGATTCTGCACTTGGGCTTATAATTGTTCTAGTTCCTGTCTTATTTGCATCGGAGTTGCTTAAAAGCCGGAATTGAGAGGAATAGTCCATATAACGGTAACAATACAAACAACAAAGAAACATGGAACGATAATGTAAAGAAATCGGGAAAAAGATTAAAAAGAAAACAAAACAAATCACTTTTTGTGTCTTTTTGGTTCACAAAGAAATTTCATTAAAATGCCGAGTATATTGTTCGGAAAGTAACGTGACATTTTTGGAGTTGTACCAAAAATTGGTAAATGTCATTGAGTCTTAATTCCCATGAAAGAGAATCATTTTTAACAATAATGTTTGCGATGAAAGTATTTCTTTTTTGCCTTAAAAAGGCTTCTTTTTTTATAGATATCTTCTTTACACATAAATATTTGGCAACGATGAACAAATTCCATTAAACTGATTAAATGGAAATCTTAAAATGCTAAGCCGGTTGGAAAGCAGTAAAATGACCTAATAATTTGGACTTTTGATGTTTTAACTTTTGAGTTTATGTCTTTTGAATTTATACCTTTTGAATATATGTGTTTTGAGTTCACAATTTTGGAATCTATATCTTTTGAGTGAATATTTCTGAATTGATATCTTTTTAGTCAATATCTTTTGAGTCTATACATTTTGAATTTATATATTTTTAGTTTATGCCTTTTGAGTCTGTATATTTTAAGTCAATATCTCTGGAGTCTATATTTTGAATCTATACCATCAGAGTATATTTTGCGTCTATATCTTTTGAGTCAATATCTTTTGAGTCTATGTTTTTAAGTTTATATCATTTGAGTCAATATCTTTTCAGTTTATATCTTTTTGAGCTTATGTCTTTTAAGTCAATATATTTTGAGTTTATATCTTTTTGAGCTTATGTCTTTTGAG